ACCCGGTGCTGTGTGACGGCTGGCAGGGAAGCTCCACCTCGGGGTGTTCTGTGCTCTGCAGCAGGGGCTGGCCTGGAAGGCTCCTCCCCACCCCAGCCAGGCCCCTGAGCCGATGAAACGTGGTGCTGGCAAAGTACAGGCCCTCCCCTGGGGCACTCTGGGCTTCCCCCGTTTGGTCTTGTGGAAAGAGGCTTCCCTTTGCAGGCAAACCCACATGCTGCCCCCCCCCCGGTTTGGTGGGTACGCAAGAGAGGGCACAGTTCTGCCGTGAGCTCGCCAGGGAGGTGCACCTGCCAGCCACTCTGGGAGCCCCAACGGGAGGGAGGCCGGGGAGGCACCTGCCATCCACTTGGCAACAGGGTTTCCTTCCGCAAAACAAAGTCCACTTGCGAACGCTTGCTGAGGTGCACGGAAAGGGGGTTCAAAGTGTATTGTTACACGTGGGTGAAAGCAGCAGACTGCCACAATTGCAGGAAAGCTGCATGCCCCCATTGCGAGTGGCACCACAGGCCCATGTATCCAGTCCACGGCCTATCTCCTTTCCCCTCCCGCTTCGGCCACATCCGGCCCCGCCTTGCATGGTGTCCACCGTTTCCCGAGCAGAGCAGCGGAGGGGGCGGCAGTTCAAGCCCTGGGGGAGCCACGCCCCTATCCCAAGGGTGTGTGTGTGTGACCGCGATGGGTATGCTACGCGAGAGGGGGGCTATTCCGTACGGCCCCTCCATCCACCGTGCCCCAAGGGCTAAAGGAGGGTGCCCGGGATGACCCCTGCCCGCTTGCCTCGCCCTGACTGGAGGCTCCTTTTCCCCCCCCCCCACAGGGTGCCGCCACTGCCGTGCCTCATGGCCTCCCACTGGGCCCTCCTGGTCCTCTTGGCCGTGCCCAGAGCCCTCCTCGGCCAGCCTGACACCGCCGATGCCCCCTGCAGATACGAGACCAATCGGATCAAGGACTTGCTGCAGGCCAGCTGCGGAGGGAAGGGGCTGAGCCAGGTGCCCCCCAACCTGCAGGGGGACACGGGCATCTTGCTGCTGGGCTCCAACCGCCTGGCCCGGGTCTCCACGGCCTCCTTCGGGCACCTGCCCAACCTGACGGACCTGGACCTCTCTCACAACGGGATGGGGGAGCTGGAGGCCGCCTCCCCACTGCCCGGCCTCCAGGAGCTGGACCTGTCCCACAACGCCCTGGATACCCTGCCCGCCCTGCAGGGGTTCCCCAGCCTCCGCCGCCTGGCCCTGGGCCACAACGCCCTCTCCCGGCTCCCCAAGGAGGGGGGCTTCCGGGCCCTGGGGCGACTGGAGGACCTGGAGCTGCAGGGGAACCGGCTCCAGAGCCTCCCGGAGGGGACCTTCGCGGGCCTGGCCGCGCTGAGGGACCTGGACTTGTCCGATAACCACCTGATGGCGCTGCCCCCGGGACTGCTGGCTGGGCTGGGGGTGCTGGAGACACTGCGCCTGGAGAGGAACCGGCTGCGGTCCGTGCCGGAGGGCTTCTTCCCGGAGGAACACCTATTCGCCTACGTCTACTTGGTAGGGAACCCCTGGCTCTGTGACTGCGCCCTGGAGTACCTGCGCGACTGGATCCTCGAGAACGGGTTCAGCATCTACACCCGGGTGCAAGGGCCCGAGAAGGAGATCACGGAGCACCAGCCCGAGAACGTCACGTGCCACGACCCCCCTGGGGCACAGGGGCGCCCCGTCATGAACTTCCACCTGGACTGCAGGCCGGTGAGTGACCGGGGCGTCCAGGGGGACGAGGAGGAGGAGGGATCGGAGCCTAGCCCAGGGCCAACAACCGCACACCCTGACACTCTCCCGCTCTCTGCAGCCCCCACTGCCTTCTCCGCACAGTCAGAGCCTTTGCCCACG